ATACACACACACACACACACACACACACACACACACACACACACACACACACACACACACACACCCTCCCTGTCAGCTGCACCCAGGTGCCTTTGAGATCTTGTTGATGGTTAGCCGTGTAGGTGGCACTTAACTGAATCTGCACTTCTCAGCGTGTGTGTGTGTGTGTGTGTGTGTGTGTGTGTGTGTGTGTGTGTGTGTGTGTGTGTGTGTGTGTGTGTGTGTGTGTGTGTGTGTGTGTGTGTGTGTGTGTGTGTGTGTGTGTGTGTCCGCGTGTGTGTGTGTGTGTGGGTGGGTGGTGTGTTTGTGTTCCTCTATTAGTGTTTTAGTTGGCGCTAGTGGTTGTTACTTACGTGACCCTGTTTGTGTGTAACATTTAATAGATCTGTGTATGATGTGTGAAAAATTGGTCAGTACAACTGTCAGCTATCCATTTGCTCATTTTGGTTGCTAAGGATACACTTGTGCACACACACACACACACACACACACACACACACACACACACACACACACACACACACACACACACACACACACACACACACACACACACACACACACACACAGGCTGATTAATTGATTAATTAAATGAATTTACATTTCCTCTAAAAAGTGGACGTTGAAGCACTTCCTCTTTATTTCCTATTCAAAGTCCCTTTTCCTCCTTCAGTTTTCTCCTCAATCAGCGGTGAGGACTGGCCGTTAATTTACCTGCCAGGCTAAAATAAAGGTTAAAACAGACTAATAAAAAGCACAGAAGGATGAATGACAGCTTAGGCTCAGTCTGGCTTAGGCCATTCGTTTCACAGGGGCCCCGATCCGGTTGCTATAATCAGATTTGGTTGTCAGTGTCTTTGTATCTGCTACAAATGGGTCACTGGCCACTTTGCCTCGCAGCCAGCCAGCCAGCCCCTCACTCAGCCAGCCAGCCAGCTAGCTATCACACAGAATTATGAATGACATTTTCACAAGAGGAAGTCATGAGGAATCAATTATATGTACAGAGAGAATGCTAATAAGTCAGCGGCTGGAAGATGAGAGAGAAATTGAAGCTAAGAGAGAAGTGAAAAAACAAAGGGGAGAAAGTGTAAGATGTAAGAGCCAAAAAAGAGAAAGAATTCTGTAAAAAGGGAAGGCCGGGGGTTGGAAGAGAAATGGAAATGAATGAGAGATGCAAAGGAAGAAAAGAGCGTTAAGAATCCTCTGTTCTCTCTTTCTATCAGAGCGCTTCCTGCTGCGATGCTCTGCGTTTGTGATAAAGTTCAATCGCGGATACAGCCAACTCCAACCGATCGATAGCCTCCATCTCCTCCTCCGTGTCCCTCCCTCCTTCCTCTGCAGCTCTGCTCTGCCAGGGGAACTTTATTTCTGGTGTTGCCTTGAAATGTGATCTGCAGTGAGGTGTGAGGGTGAAAAGAACAGTGTGTGTGTGTGTGCGTGTGTGTGTGTGTGTGTGTGTGTGTGTGTGTGTGTGTGTGTGTGTGTGTGTGTGTGTGTGTGTGCGTGGTTACAGACTGTGTGTATGAGCATTTACATACATGTGTGTGTTTGTCCTCATAAATGCAGAGCAGAGTAACTTGTAAAATATTCAGAGCACTTCTTTCTGCTGGGATATAACTCTCCTTGCTGGTGCATTCAAGGAAAATCCAATATTTCAAAAATCATAATTGGCTGATGGAAAGCATTGCATCTAAGAAGATGATGATGCCAGTAAATGAAATCATATGCCGCACTATAACAGGGTGTCCGTGGGGTCTTAACAAGTATTAAAAGTTGATGAATCAATTTAGCTAAAAATGAAGGCTATTAAAAAGTATTGAACGGCATTTTCCAAGGTATTACATTTTGTAGCTTGTTTTCAATAAGTATATAAATTGTCCAAAGAGGTTGTATTCTACAGTCTGCCTGAATGTAATCATTGCGTAGGTGTGTAGTGTGATTCTGTGTAGTTTATTTATGGCATCCCGTTGGGTTTGCCTTCATCTGAACAGGACATCGCACGCTCACTGCTTGATAGCCCGTTTACGCCGGTTGTTAAACAACATCGTTATGGGGAAATGCAAGTCTGCGTCCAAATGGTTGGAAGATAAGGAGGAAGGGCAATCAATACTGTATATAGTCAATGTGAGGCAAAGTGTGTCGCCAAGGTAACCGGTTAAAACTCAAAGTGGAGATGAGGTCTTAAAATGTAATGAAAGGGTCTTAAAAAAGGTCTTAAAAGGTTTTACATTTGACTTCAGGATTCCTGCATACACCCTGTATAAGCACACCTGGATATTGTTTAAAAGGCTAAATGAGCTGGTGCTGTTAAGATTGTTAACCTCAATCTTTCATTCATTAAATCTATGATGTACAATGTGCTATCAAATAGAAGCGCGAGAGTAACAAAGTGATGTCACTATTTTACAGAAGTAAACAAAGGAGTCCAAAGGAGGCCTTTCAGGCATGTGTGTGGAAGAGATGTGAACCGTTGCAGACCTTTTTCATGCACAACACCTATATAACGCACTACAGGAAAGGGAAGCCCCAAAATACATAACATGGCCCCTTTAAAGTCACAATAACCCATGTGAGGATGGTCTGCAGTTCTGTAAAAGAAAATACATGTGATTTGTAGTTAATCTCTTTCAAAGATCTGATGGTACTGTGCAAATGCACGACAACACATCTGTCGTCTAACTTCCCAGTGAACAGGCTGGACTCCGCAGCCTTGATGTGTCCTTGTTGGAGTCAGTCAAAGATCACTTCTTGTCAGAAATAGACGGACAGAGCTGCCTTCATGTGCCTCTGGAAATGATGAGGAAGGTGTCTCAAGGCGGCTCGGGCTGCGATATTTTATCAGAGAAGAAGTCAGACTTTGTTCTCCTCGCTCTCTGGCAGGAAAAGGTTAACGCTGATGGCTGATTTGCCAGCCGAGCGGAGCTGTAATTGGTTCCACTGGATTTTTGTGGCAAACATTATCAGAGCTGTGAGAATGTGCGTGATTCCTTTTTATGTGTCCTTGTCTCTTTAGTGCTGTGTGAGTGCATGTTTTTTGTGTTAACAATGTTTGCTGTTGGCTTAGATGTTTGTAAATGTGTGTGTACATCTCCTGTGTCAGGCTTTGTTTTATGTGTCTGCTTGTGCCCTTAAGTGCAAACTGTCTTTGTGTGTTAGTATATGTATGTCTTGGTGTGTGTGTAAGTGTCTGTATTTGTCCTTGTGTTCCCGTTAAAGGGCTTGTGTGTGTGTGAGCAGCTGCTAAAGTGTGTGTGTGTGTGTGTGTGTGTGTGTGTGTGTGTGTTTAGACCTGGGGGGGAAGGGGAAAGGAGAGCAGGGTTTGTGTGCACCGTGTGCCAACAACAATAACAATAAATAATGTCCCAGTCCGACCTCGACGCTGCTGTGAATGTACGAGCCCCTGATTGGCTGCCACTCCTCGGCGAGGAAGAGAAAGAAAGATTTACTGCGTGTTGTCATGGTAAACAAAGATCTCTATAACTGCTACATCATTTCACACATATATTAATTTACGGGCTAACTTCGTTACACACAAACACACCTCCTATCAAACATGGAGGTTTCTTTCTGCTTCACTCCTGGCATCGGTCTACAAGTCAAAGTTAAGCAGAATTCAAGTGTAAGGTGTAGGGAAGCTCAAATGTCCTCAATCTATACACGATACATCTATTGAACATCTGTCTGTCCTGAGAGGGGGGTCCCACCTCTGATTCTTTGATTTTTATCTTTGTTATTATGGGAATATTAACACGTTTTTGTATGTGTGTTTACTTATGGTTCCCAAATATATATTGTTTAAAGATCGGCAATAACGTTGTATTGATATTTTTAACTATAGTTTAGTCAGTAGGCCCTGTTCTGCTGTCTGCATGTGTTTCTCCCACTGTTGCGTCATTGTTTTTGAATGCGCCATCGGCCTTGAGAAAGTGCGACTGTATATGCCCTTGATCCGTGTTTCAAAATAAGCTATTTCGGGTCCTCGAATTTGAGGGAATTAGGCTTGGAAAATCCTTGAAGAATCCTTGAATTGACTGTTTAAAAAGGTCTGGAAAACTCTGATCATACAATCTTTTCTTAGCCCTAGAAGTTGGAATGGCGGTAGTCTCGAAGATCAAAGTTAGACGTTCTCAAAGCCAGCGATAAAGACAGATTTGAAAAGAGATGGAAATCTGAGCTTGGCTGCTGTTTAGCAAGAATAATATATGACAACATTACACTGTGGATAAACAATCAAATCGGCTCTGATCATTTTAGTACATCATGCATGAGCATCATTCAATCTTCATTGGAAATATATGGTGACAAT